TGTTAAGATTAAAATAAAGGTGCCCACACTTTAAAGTGAGGTTGTACTTGATGCCTGGGTACACGTCTGCTGGAAACCTGAGAAGAGAATTCAAGTTCCTAAAAAAACCCACATCCCTGGCAATGAAAACAGCAGGGTCAGGCGCACGTCTGTCAGCAGACCCTAATGCAGCCCAGCGCGTCGCTGCTCCGTGTCCCGGGTTCAGAGGGAGCATTGTGTCCCAGTGTCGAAGAACGCCTGAACTCTGGACCCTTTCTCAGATTTGGGGCATGCTTAACTCTCTCCCATGCTGGGTTTCTGGAATCTAATGACAGTCAAACTCACCCTGCAGGTTTTCTTTTCAGTGAGAACATTACTAGGATCTCCTCTATTCCTTTTTCGTGGAGCCAACAGAACTTAATATTTCTGAGTTCTTTACTCTGCCAGATTTGGTGAAGTTAGCCAAGACATTGTGTTGGACAGACAGATGCACAAAAGCAGGTTACAAGATGGCAGTGCCTTTTTCGATTAAGAAATGAGCCCCTCCTCAGTCATGAATTTAGAACTGCCTGGTTTCCTTTTATAGGAATTTGGACATCTGAAACTTTGGGGTTCTTTTTCCCTCTTTTAAATACTTGATAAAGAAACTGCCATTTGCATAACATCGAAGCTACGCATTATTCTCTCTCTTGCACTCAGAAGGTTAAGGGCTTGTTTTTCAGCTATTCAAGAGAGCCTGTTTGTAAACAAGAGATTAACAGAAATGAAAATATTCCTAAATACATGTCCGTGCTATTGAAGAATGGTTTTTTTTTTTTTCTTTTTTAATATCAGCCAGTCTCAAGAAACAGACTGCTTGGCTGAATGTTTTTTCCCAGGGTAGCATTTCCTCTCTTGGAGGAAGGGTGCTTCAGTCACATCTCCGTTTAACTGTCTGTCCCTCATCCTCCCCACCCAGCCTGCTGATCTGTCTTTCCAAATATACCCTTAATTATGTATATAAAAATGTAGAAATTCAAGAATAGCACGCAATGGCGTGCTCAGGTTTCTACTCTGTTTTCATGACAACATGCAGTTCTGTTCCGTGAAGCAGCAGAACAGGTGAAAGATCACACAGACAACTGTTTCTGGCTTTGCAGTCACTCCTGGAAGTCCCAAGATATACAGCATTTCTCTGTTACTGCATGACCTTGGCGTTTGCTTGAAGATAGACACGCAACATGCAGAATTAATACATGAGTTAAACTGAAAGAATGGGCTCCAATAACTGATCTGATTTACTATTGCTCTAATCTGTAGGACAGTGGATATCCCATTTTAAGTTGTTCAGATATGATTGCCTAATCTTACATTGTAGTTCTGAGAATGGATGGTGTCTCACAACCTGTTTGTCATCTCAGTCGTTTGTAGGTTATTTTTTAAACACACTGAAACCTACACAGTACATAGTCTCATTCTTTTAACTGCCGTTCAAACCCTGGATATCATCCAGATGAGCTAGTGAAACAGAAAGCAGATTGCTCCAGGGACTGTATAGGAGTGTCACTCGAAGCTATATGTGGATCGGGGTAAAGCGAACAATGGACTGAAAGTACGGAGCAAATCCAGCTTAGCTTATCAAGTAGGTATCAGAGCGGGTTCCACCATCTCTGCAGCTCTTGTTTCCCATGACCACGTATTGTTGCATCAATATAAATAACGGTTAAGAAATGTAGAATAATACAAAGGACTTTTACATAAAATTTATAAGAACAGACTGGCCCCACTTGCTTCTGAATCCTTTCCAGTAAGTGAGATACAATTTTAATTTTTTTTATAGCCCAGGCAATGCTGCTGTTCCTTTGGCGGTGTGCTCTGGCAGACAGCGTAAGGAGCGTGAGTAGCTAGGTCTGTGCCGCTGAATGAATTCAGAAGCTGGTGTACCTGCAGATCTCACTCACTGCAGCTCGAAGAGTGTTCTGGGTTTCTTGAATGCAGCCCTACACACATTTTTTCCTTTGGCCCGGGTGGAGTTCAGGAAGAAGCCAAAAATGTTCCTGCTTGTGTAATTCTGAATTAAGAGCTAAATTCAACTGACGTTAAATGTGATGTTTTTCCACCAGCTTGTGTAACTCTAAACAGAAGTTTTGTGATGTCATGTTCTCTGGCAGAGAAGAAAGGTACAGTATAGTTGGATTTGGAACATGGAGATTCAGCCTATTTGAAACTGTGATGAAATACGATATCCATCACCTTTGAAAGGCACCTCTTGCCTGCCTCTCTGAAGAATAGAGACGCCTGAATTTCTTTATTTGCTTTATTTCAAGCATAGCAGTTTATTTTTTGGAGACTTATCTCTCTTCCAGACCTGCTACCAATGCTCATTAAACACAAAAGAATTCCCGCTGCCAAGGTGTAACATTAAGATTACCTGTATACACATTCACATGCTTGGCATGTTTCCTGCTACAAAGATACTGTATGACATTTCCACAGTGATTTGTAGGATTAGATTCTGCACTCATTATATAAAGAAAATTCTGACTTCAGCATTGCCTAGACTACAGCTTTGGAATCTGAGATGTGGTGTGCAGATGCAGCCGCTTCAGTGGTGAAAGCTCTGGGCTGAGTACACCGTGTCCATGGGTTAGTGCTTATGCAAGAGAGCTGTATTGTGGCTACATGTTCCCTGATGAGATTAGGCAATCAATTCATATAATCTCTCATTCTGTTGATTGCTTTACTGCCAGTAAAAGGACCTTTATATAACTTACCTGCACAGAAAACCACATCCCTTCTGTTTGAGAGATGAGACTGGCGACAGCCTGTGAATTTCCATGTGAGGTTTTGGAGCAGCAGCTAGATCTTTTCTTAATTAATACCCCAAAGCAACTCTGTTCCTGACTGCATGCTAATTTTTTAAAAAACAATAATGACTCTAGTATCTTTACGCGAGGCATCCGGCTTTTCCTCACAATACAGCTTTTCTTTGAGGAGGTATTGCTAAACCTCAGCAAAGCTGGGAAGCACTCTAGAAAACTCGGCGTCACTACTAGAGCGAGGCCCGCTGTCAGTCAGTCCTGGGAAGGGAAAATCACTTGGCCAAAAAACTTAAAGGCTACTACCAAGAAGATATGAATCAAGACTAGAGAGGACTGAAAAAAAAAAAAAAAGTTCCTAGGAAGAAGGATAACAGGCAAGAGCAGAGAAAGTGTGGCAGAAAGGTGCACTGCCACGTTTTTCTTTGGCTCGCAGAGCAGGTATCACCACCATCTCATTAACATCAAAGTCAAGCTGGTGAGTGTGAACCTGAGCATTCCCAGCTATGGGTGATGCGCAGTGGGGAAAGGAGGAGGTAGGTGATGCAATACCTTCATCACCTCATTGCTAGTGCTGGGTAACACAGATCTTATACAACCCGGCTCCAGTACCTCTTCCCTCGTTAGGAACTGGACTGTTGTGCCCACTCCTGGTTACCAAATGTGAGACAGAAAAGAACAGCTGATGCCATGCTAGCTGATCAGCAGAAAAGGTAACATTTTCTCTGTGCTTCGTGGCATTGTCAACAGCAGAAGCAAACATTGCATGTTAACACTTGCCTTCCTTTCCAAAAAGCAGCCATTGCATGGGACAATCTTTCTAGTGAATAATAGTTGCTGATCCCATTTATAATGAAAACAAACACAGAGAAAATTAACTTAGGCAAAAAATAGGATCCAAAGACCATTGCCTTACCAAAAAAGATGCCACAGCTCAGGAATGAGAAGAGTCAAACCTGCAGGCCAGATCCAGCTGTCAGCCCACTTCTTGTTGCTCTTCTTCCCAAGGGTACCAGTTGTCACAGTAGTACATCTGTTGCATGGCCAAAACATAGGGAAAAGACTCAGGAATCTGGTCACCCAACAGGGATGACTGACATGTCTTGCCATAGGCAGCAGCACACCCAACCAGTGACTGGATACGCACCAAACACAGCCAAAACACAGCCAAAATGTATTTGCTCCACTGATATTTCTATCAGGCGAATGAGACAAGTTCCTGAGAGTTTACAGAAGAGGGCCCAGGAGGGTGCTCTCCCAGCGCTCCACACCCAGGGCCTGCTGTAGTCAAAGGCTTCCTCACCAGCCCTAAGCTCAGCAAGAGGGATATAGCTGGGATGCAGAAACTGTACATATTCTGCCCCAGGCTGCTGCGTATGGTCAGTACCATAGCAATCTCTTTAAAAATTAGGCATCTAAGAAATAGGAGCTTTATTCTTTGGAAAATATCTGACATTGAAGGGATTTGCACGGGTTTTTTATCCAACAAAAGTTTATCCATTAAACCAGTTGTGTGCGCTTTTTTTTTTTTTTTTTTTTTTTCAAGTGGCCCCTAAGCTTTTAAGCTGCAGTTCAGTGGAAGGCAACTGACAACAACCTCGTCTTACCTCTTGCAGATCTCTTAGGAGGAGGGATTCACGGATGTCCATACAAAAATCTCTCTCCCTTTGGGTACTGCACAGATACAACCATTGTGTTATGCATTGCGGTTGTTGGTGTAGCCCAAAAAAATCAGCAGAACAGCCTCCAGAGCAATTGGTCTAATGTGCCTTGTTCTTTCTCCTAAGCAGTCAAGGAAGTTTACATCAGGGACACTTGCTGTGTCCTTACTTTTGACCCAAATCCTATTTGGAAAATTATTGCCTTTGCCTGCTCATTAACAAACTGAGATTTGGCTGTGGAAATTTCTTGGAGGCTTCATAAACAGAGGAAAAAAGAAACCCCAGGTCTCTCTTTTCTGAGCAGGAGCCTATTAAGTAGATCCTAGAGATAAATGTTATGGCTGAATTTCTGAACTTAAAACAGATTATTGGCTGCTCAGATTGAAGGCTGGCTGGGGTCCATTTTTTCTCCTGTTTCAGGATAATAACACCAGCTCCTTCCATTTAGTGACAGGTGGCATCTGTCTTGCTCCCAACCTTTTTTGTTCTACCTTTTGTATATAAAAAAAAAAATAGGAGACATTGCTAATGCTTCTAATCATGCCATCTTCTCTTTCTGCAGGCGAGCGGCCTTTTGAATGCAACTGGCAAGGGTGCAACAAGAAGTTTGCTCGCTCCGATGAGCTGGCCCGCCATTACCGCACTCACACTGGAGAAAAGAAGTTCAGCTGCCCTCTCTGCGAGAAGCGCTTCATGCGCAGCGACCACCTGACGAAGCACGCCCGTCGGCATGCCAACTTCCACCCCAGCATGCTCAAGAGGCGAAGCGGGAGCAGCTCCAGGACAGGGTCTGTCAGTGACTACAGCCGCTCGGATGCCTCCAGCCCCACGATTAGCCCCGCCAGTTCCCCGTAGATCTACCTGCACTGGATGTCAGCACTTTGCCTCTGTTATCTATTGTGGAGTTTCATTTGTGTTGCACACATTTTAAAAACTCTATTGCTTCTCCCCCAGTTTGTTCCCCCTCTCCTTTTTTTTTTTTTTTTTTTTTTTTTTTAAATCAGTACATAGCTGCCTCCCACTGCAATTTCCAGAGAAATTTTCTTTACCGGCCACACAAGTGGCCATTCTAACCTCATGGACAGATGGACTTAAGTGTTCCACTTTGTGACTCCTGCTGTCTCAATTCATCCATTTTATAACCGTAAACAAATCCTCTTGATTATTCTTTATAAGAAAATCTAAAAAAGAAAAAAAAAACACTTCACCTCAGGTGTCAAAATAGTTTTGTAAGACCAGATTGCACAACACGAGCATACATACACTTACAAATCAACTGTCGGATTGTGTCCCCCTTCTCCTTTCTCAGGGATGGATATTTATGTTACACAATAATTACAATGAAGACGCACCCTAACCACAGCCTTACTCTGTAAATATATTTGCACTCAGAAAGCTTTTTGTTAGGTTCTTTCACACACTGGGGAAAAAATAAACAAACAAACAAACAAACCAGAAACCAAACCAGTACTGGAATGTCGTACCAGACTCTTCCATTGCTCGATTTCCTGGTTACACACCTACAATGGGAAGCATCCAAACAGGAGTCTTCTTTCTTTCTTCAAGCCACCCTCTGCTTTTGGTAGCAAGCCGTCTTTTCACTTCATGCTGAAGATGCTCTAAAACCAACTTCCTACTGCAAAAATCTCTGTGAGGTTGATAAACTTTTTTTTTTTTTTGGTTATTTAATGCCAGATAAAATTCCAAGAAAAAGTTCTAAACAAGATGCCTTAAATAAGCAACATAAACAGGAGGAAACACATTTACACTGGGTAACATTTTCCTGCAAGGTGGCAAGGCATTCTGGAGGCATTCAGTCTTCTCTTTCTCCAAGTTATTAAGCTCTCTGCACTGCCTGTTCAGTATGGGACCAACAAAATATTCAAATCAAACCACACTGACTTGAACAACTTTATTCTTCTTTCATTCTTTTTTTTTTTTTAATGAACTAGGGAAATAGCATAGCTGAACCAATGCCCATCAGAACTTTTATCAAGGTACTTACCTACTGTACAGCTGTATCTTAGGAAGACAAATTGCCTAAGACAGAGTTTCTGTATCTTGTTGCATCACAATCGTGGTCACTGGTGAAACGAAACAAAAATCATCATAACATATCTTCTGACTGGAAAAAAAAAAAATGGATTTCTAAGTGTTAAAAAAAATGGCATTTTAGCTCAGCAGTACTTCAGGTTTCTCGTATATACACATGCCAGCATAAAGAAGGGCTCTTGCTTTTCTGAATAACTGCTTAAAAACAAAAAGGGAATCTTGGCTATTTTTCAATAATTTTCAAATACCGAGCTCTAGATAGAGCACTAGAAGGTAGATTTCTATGTTTTATATGGTAGAGAATACAGCAAAAGACCAGAGCATTGTGCTGTACTAGAGACCTCATTGGCAACAAGTACGCTTTCATTCGCTTGGCTCACTCAGATGGTGCATATCAGAATTTTAGGTCTTTTTGATTCTGGAGTTTCTTCTTTTTTGTATTAACAATACTGTAGGGTATAAATGCAGTCAAGTGTAGCACAGTGAAAAGAAACTCAGTACACCAAATCTGCTGTTTGATTTGAAGTGGATGCCTCCACGTTCCAGATGAATCTGTATCTTACTTGCTGCTTTGCATTGATCCAGTTTTGCAAGTTTTTTTGTACTGTATATTAACTGTGAGAGGCTAACATAGATTTGTAAGTAGTTTCATAGGTACTTCCATAATATTTACATTATTTCTAATACTAAGCATTCTGTCAGTTATATGGATAAAAACTTAAAAACAGTTCAAAGTGCAGATGTTTCAGTATTTTTTCATGTTTATTTGCTTTGGATTTCACCTTTATAAAATCATGATTTTCTCCTTTTGAATTCTAAGCCAAGCTAGGCAAAATTTTACTCTTTGGTATAAAGAAAATGAAACATAGCAAGATTTTTTTGCAAGAAGACAAGTATTGTTGAATTTGTGTAATGAGTTGCCTAACCACTGTGGATTAGGGGAAAGCCAGATCTGTTTACCTCTATAAATTTCATTTATTCTTTGTTTTTTTTAACTCATCTGCTGAGATACACATTATTAACAGTTTGATACAATTCAGGTAATAGGAATTCACATTCCAATCATTTCTGTGACTGATAAAAGTGCTTTTGTGCTGTAGTTAGTATAGGGGCAATTAAGATATCTAGCTAAAGGAGTTCTACAGGTCAGTGGTGCCTTGTGCACATACTTTAAAACAATTCATAAAATACACGTTTCTCATTACATCTTAATAGAAGGATATGAGGAAAAAAATGAAAACAAAGGAGAACTAAATATCACCAAAAATTACAAGCTTTGCATTCCAACTCAGTTTGTTATAAAATCATCCCCTGCAACGAAAGCATCATTTAATTTCTTTAGCAAAGAAAGATCCACTCCAGTCTACTTATGTAGGGGCATAATATTCAGCGTGAATCAATGGAATGTAGGTACTTTACAAACAAATGTTTTGGAGCAAGAGTATTCCCACCAGGTTATAGCATACTGAGATTATGGGATAACCTATTCTGAATCATGCAAGAACCAGGTGATCTTTAACTCAAACAGTAAGCTAAATATTGTTACATATTTTCTTCACATAAATTATTAATAATTCTCCAAGATTAAATGGGGAGAAAATACTGATTCAAAGCTGATTTTGCAGCTCAGTTTGTCTAATGAGAAGGCTGTGAGTCGATATGTAGTCAACATAGCTATACTTTTGGGAAATTCTCTGAAATTTGCCTTTACAACTTTAAAATTTTTATGTTTTAGCTGTAAACACCTCAGAGAGAGTTATGTGGACGGTCAGATTAGCGTGTTCTAGTATCCTAACTAGAGCTTCAAAAATCTCCATTAAATGTTTAATAAATGCTAGTTTTAGGATACAATGATGAATTCCAAACCACTAGTTTTCAAAATTGAATGTGAACAAAACTTCTCTCCATATTCTCACGTGTAAAGAGAGAGTTTTGGGTTTTCCAGCATCTACTTAGAAGCAGAAGTGCCAGCAAGGTCATAAGACGCTATTCTCATGATTGCTCCTCCTGAGATTTACAGACATGGGAAGTCTGAATAGCTTGAATTATGTTTTGAAGTCTGGGGGCTTATCCAAAGCGACCTTCTGTTGCTTCATCCAATGGTCTGATCTAAAACAGTCTCCTGGCACAGCAGCAAGTACTGCACACTCAGGAAACACTTCTCAGTCCTCCATCTGGAGTACATCTCTCTCTCCTTCTGCCTCCTACTTTCCCCTGTAATCTGTTGAGGTAGATTCTCACAAACCACAGACTTGCCTTGGTTGGTTTTTTTTTTTTTTTAATTTCAGAACATAATAACAGGTTATTGGTATTAAGAAAGCCCTTGACGTTTGTTTACTTTTCCCCACCCATGATTCTAGCTTCTTCTCTAAGAGTTGAGCTGCGCTGCCTTGAGATAGGAAAAAGGTACAAATGAAAATAATCACTTCACTACCAGCATTCAATTGAAACCGAAGCTACTCACCACCTCTCCAAACTAACAGCTCATATCTTAGGGTCAAGATGCTAATTGTACTCTGTGGAAACAGAGAGAAATGAGAGATCAGCGTCCTCCAGATTTCTAATCAAATTTTATTGATATAATTTAGGCTAGCTCTCAGAAACTCATTCACCCCTTCCATTAACCTCATCTTGTGCAAAGGCCTAAAGTGCATTAATGGCCACATGAATTCAGTTCTCCTCCTGCTTCTTAGAAAGCAGTCCTGGTAAACTCTAGGCAGCTACATTTTATTGTGTGAAGGCCCCTTTACCTTTATACATCCGCAAATTAGTTGTTCTTTGCTTCTATAACATGCGCGTAGTGTCTGTTTACAATACATAACTGCAAAGGTATATTTTTATAACAAGACATCAGAAGCCTCTGTTTGATGGTAACACCCAATTCCTGCATGTAGCCCACCCTCCTTACTGCATTAACTTTTAGCTCAGAGAGCCCCTATCGAGCTTTAAAAACTCATCGGCCTCCTTCCAGAAGGTCAGTGCTTTTTGTGTTTCGGGCAGGCAGGCCAAGAAACGGCTGTGTGAGGAGCTTACCCGGGTCTGGTTATTCAGATTCACGACTGGCCCCGTCCAGGTCTTGGTCATGAATTCTGGGATTTGAACTGTGCAAAATGCATCCTTGTTTTGGGGAATGCAATTTATCAACAAAGCGTAAGGAAAATGGACTCTGCGTATTTAAAGCTTACCTTTTCATAGCCACTTGATTTACTAGTTTCACCACGTGATGCCTACAAACTGACTTTCCGGTGCTCTTTTACTCCCTTACACCATCTGTTTGTGCATTTGGTGCTAACATATAGTCTGTCAGTGAATGGTATGATGAACTTCTGTATTTTTACCTTTTGGGGATAAAGCTATAGCCCTAGGCAGCCTAGAAAGTAATTGAATTATACTTGTTTACCCCCTAGACAAGGATATAGAAGACATGAGCCCATCCACTGGTAGAGGTTTTATATATGTATGTGTATATATATGGGTTTATAGAAACGTGCACATGTATATAAATACATATATATATGTGTATATTTTTTTTAGTATGTGTGTGTCTATACATAAACACACAGCAGTGTATATATACACACAGAATAATGAAGGGATGTCTACAGAGCAAAAATAGGTATCCATTTCATTATAGCTAGCAATGGGTCTGAACCAAAATGCTAGATTCAAACACCATTGCCTTTGGGAAGTTTGGATGCCCTTTTCGAGATCTGCAGTTGAGTTTCATCTCTAGTTAGAGCCGCGGTTACGGGTGTACGTAATGCCTGCCGGGGACGTGCGCACGCACACGTGCTGCTCACGTGCCCCCGCCTCTGTGGGTGACGGAGAAGGCGTGCGCCGGCCAGTGCGCGCGTGCGCCGGTGTACAGGCGTGCTTTCAGCTGCGGAGAACTGCGATGCTACTGGTGT